GAGGAGGGGAGGGAGGGAGGAACGAGGGGAGGGAGAGGTGGACGGAGGGAGGGAGGGGGAGAGGCAGGGAGGGAGGGGGGAAGGGAGAAGAAGGAAGGAGAGGAAGGGAGAGAGGGAGAAAGGGAGAGAGGCAGGGAGAGAGTGAGGGCGAGAGGAAGAGAATGAGAGAGAGAGGGAGGGAGGAAAGTAAAAGGGGAGAGCGGGATGGAGGAGGGGAGGAAAGGAGAGAGTGCGGGAGGGAGGGGGGGAAAGGAGAGGAGGGAGGGATGGAGGGAGAAACCCCAGCAACTTGGACGACAGGGCCATCCAGGCCCCTGGGCCGCACGCGACAGGCAGAATTTCCTCGCAATGCGGGAGACGCCAGTTGCAAAACAGGGGTGGTTGGATGACCTCGTCCTTGGCGCGGACGAAAAGGTCCACGGCTGGAATAAGGAAACAATCGGCGGTGATCAAGCCGCTATGGGACCCGTCTGCGCCACCGTGCGAGATGAGGCGCCGGCTTTCAGCATGGGTTGGCATGCACGCCTAAGCGCCCTGAGAAGAGATAAACCATTTTAGCCAAACCTTCGCGCAGGCCTCAGAAAAGGTAGCAGTGTAATGCTACAGGTGGGCACCTAGTCGCTCCCCTGGGGCGACGCCCCAGGGCAAGCGGGCGATCGGACGATCCAGGCTGTCTGTGTTCATTGCACGTAACGGTGGAACTGGTTCTCCCCGACCTGCTGGTCGGAGCTCGCATCCCACCCCCAAAGGGCCAATGCGGCTCGTGGAGGTAGGGCGGAGCTCGCATCCCACCTCGACTGGGCCAGTGCGGCTCTTGAAAACAATCCGATACACGCATCCCACACCCACTGGGCCAATGCAGATCGTGAAGTGACGAGCCATGGACCAGGCCTCGCGGCAAAACACGAGGCGGTGAACGTAACACACATGGTCGTCGGGGTCGGGCTGCTGCTACTGGTCGATCTGCTCACAGATTCGCGGCCGGTGCCGGTCATGGTGGTCAGCGACGCGGTGGTCAACGGCATACATGGTACTCGTGGCCATGGTGGTGCACCTGGAGCTCGCCAACGCACTTCTCAACGTTGCGCTGCTTGGACTGGTAGTGGCGCACGGCGACGCGGAGCTTGAGCTGGCACTCGCCGCCCACGCGCAGGCGTCGGAGCGGGGCTGCCGCTGTCCGGCGCGCAGCGCACCGATTCGCGGCCAGTGCCGGTCACGGCGGTCAACGCAGCGCCCATCCCACCCCCAGCGGGCCAATGCGGGGCGCGGAGGCCACAGGGGCCAGGCGGGCGCCTAGACCACAGGCCAGCCCGGACGCGCAACGCATCTAACGACACGTGATTCAAGGAGGACAATAATCCAGGGGGGGACTCAGGGCAGGCGTCGAGGCGGCCATCGCCCCACACGTCGCCGTCGAGGCACTGGTGCCGGACGCGCTGCGCGAACGAGCGGCGCTCGTTGCGCCGCTCGCGTCGCTCGTCGATGCGAAAAGGCGGGCGCTGGATCGCGTCGCGCTGCTCAACGTCGCAGCGCGCGACCCCGTCGCGCTGCTCGACGTCGCAGCGCTCGACCCTGGCGCGCTGCCCACCGCCGTAGTGTTCGACTCTGCCGCGCAGGATCCCGTCGCGCAGCTCAGCGTCGCAGCGCTCGACTCCGTCGCGATGCTCAGCGTCGAGGGGCCGGCCCCCACAGCACTGTTCAACGCCGCGGTGCTCGTTGCACTGTTAGTCTCGCTCGCGGGAGCGAGGCTGCTCGCGCCGGGCCCCGTCGCGCTGCTCGAAGTCGCGGCGCTCGACTCCGTCGCACTGCTCCACGCCGCGGTGCTCGACTTCGCTGCGCCGGATCCCGTCGCGCTGCTCAACGTCGCGGCGCCCGACCCTGTCGCGCTGCGAGTTGCACGGGCGCTGGCCCCAATCGCGCGCACAGAGACGCGGTGCCCGTCGCACTGCCGCGCAACTCACAGGCGCGAAACTGCCGGCGCTGGACCCCGTCGCGCTGCTCAACGCCGAGGCGCTCGCCTCCGACGCGCCGTTCAACGTCGCGGCTCTCGACTCACTCGCGATTGACCCTGTCGCGCTGCTCAACGCCGCGGCGCCCGACTCGGCGGGCCGACCCCCGTCGCGGGCTGCTCGGCATCGAGAAGTGCTGGCCCCAGACGCGCTGCTCAGAGAACTGGCGCTCGTCGCGCTGCTCGACTCACTCGTTGCGACGCTGGCGCTTGACCCCGCTTCTCAGCGCCGCTGCGCTCGACTCCGCTGCGATGCCCAACGCGCATGCGAGGCCGCGCGCTGCTCGACGTCGCGGCGCTCGATTCCGTCGCGCTGCTCAGCGTCGACGCGCCGCTCAAAGTCGTCGCGATCGGTTTCGTCGCGCTGGATCTCATCGCGCTGCCCAACGCCACGGCGCTCGACTTCGTCGCGCTGCCAAGCTCAGAGGCGCTGGCCCCAAAAACGCGCTGCTCACAGACGCGGCGCTCGTTGCACTGCCCATCTCACTCGTGGACGCGAGGCCGCCAGTGCTCGACCCCGTCGCTCAGCCCGACGTCGCGGCGCCCGACTCCGTCGCGCCGCTCAGCATCGCGGCGCTCGACTCACTAGCGCAAGACCCCGTCACGCCGCTCAACGCCACGGCGCTCGACATCGCCGCGCTGCCCAGCGTCGAGGCGCCGGCCCCAGACACGCCGCTCAACGACGCGGCGCTTGCTGCACCCCTCGTCTCGTTCGCGGCGGCGAAACCGCCGGCGCAGGGCCCCGTCGCGCTGCTCGACGTCGCGGCCCTCGACGGCGTCGCGCTGCACAACGTTGCGGCGTCGGCTCTGACGCGCTGGACCCCGTCGCGCGGCCCAGCGTCGCGACGCTCGACTCAGTCGCGCTGATCAACGTCGCGGCGCCCGTCTCCGTCGCGCTGGACCACGCCCGGCGCACGACTCACTAGCGCAAGACCCCGTCGCGCCGCTCAAGGCCACGGCGCTCGACATCGGCGCGCTGCTCAGCGTCGAGGCGCCAGTCCCGGACGCGCTGCCCAAAGGCGCGGCACTTATTGCATTCCTCGTCTCACTTGTCGATGCGCGGCCGCTGGCGCTGGACCCCGTCGCGCGGCCCAGCGTCGCGGCGCTCGACTCCGCTGCGCTGCCACGCGCGGGGGCGATGGCCCCAGAGACGCGCTACTCATGGACGCGGCGCTCGTTGCGCTGCTCCTCGCACCCGTCGACGCGAGGCCGCCGGCGCGGGGCCCCGTCGCACTCGTCAACGTCGCAGCGCCCGACTTCGTCGCGCCGCCCAGCGTCGCGGCGCTCGGCTCCGAAACGCCAGGCCAGTCGCGCTGCCCAATGTCGCTGCGATCGACTCACTCAGGCCGCTCAGCGTCGAGGCGCCAGACCCGAACTTGCCGCTTGAAGACATGGCCCTTGATGCGCAGCTCGTCTCACTCGCGGACGCGAGGCTGCCAGCGCTGGATCTCGCCGCGCTGCTCTACGTCGCGGCGTTCGCCCACGTCGCGAAGCCCAACGTCGCGGCGCTCGACTCCGTCGCGCCGGGCCCCGTCGCGCCGCTCGCGGTTGCGCGCGCGGCTGTCAGGGCTGACATTCACAGGGCTCTGCCGGCGCCCGTAACGGCGATCAGCGAAGCGGCACTCACGGACGTTCCCCACTCCTGGGCATGCGTCGAGCTGCTGCTCTCCGACACACTGTCGAAGCGGCCGGGGGGGGTTTGACTGTAGACGGGGAGGCACGGGGGCCCAGAACAACTAGACCAACCTGAGCTGACAGCCACCCCGACGCGAGGCCCGACCAGACGGCCTCGCGGCGGCGCTGGAAGCGGCGCTCGCCCCTCTCGCGGAAGGCAGGGTCAAACCAGCACACGCCGTCGAGGCGCTGGCGCGCTGACGCCCATCGCGCATCTCAGCGACGCGGCACTCGAGGCAGTGCTCGTCCTGCTGGCGAACGCAAAGGGCGAGCTGGTGCTCGCCGACGCGCTGCTCCACGGAGCGTTGCCTGCGCCCGCCGAAGTGGCCAGGGGCGCATTGCCCTGGCGCCTGGACAACGCAACAATATCACAACTACAACTGCGCAACGCACTTGCTTCGCACCCCCCCAAACCCAAAGTTGAAGCGTCCACATTTTCGTCCATGGCCTTCGGCCTGCCCCCTAACCCCATCAACATCGAACGGAGGGAAAGGGGGCATTCACTTTGGTCCGACGCGCTGTGACGACTAAAGGCCTCGGCGAGACACGCGCGGACACTTCTAGCCCCGCCAACGTCGAGCTAGCGCTCCGAGAAGTGATGAGCCCAGTCGTGGGCGCGAGGATCGGGCTGCTGCTCGACCCGACGTGGTCGCCCTAGTCGCGCAGGGTGGGATAGGGCACCCGGCGCTGTAGGGAGTGTACTTAGAATGGGCGCTCCTTGCGTAGGTCGCCACAGCCGCAGGCGCGAGCACTGGCGAGCTGGCCACGACCATGAGAGCGAAAAATGTAAGGCGCATGCTCGCCTGGATCGGGAGGTTGAATTTGCGCACTGGCGCGGCGACCCGAAGAGCGCAGACTGGTGGTTTCAGCCAAACACACGAGACGAGGCAAGCCAAGACCGTCGATCGCCCCACTACGGCAAAAATTGAAAAATTGCGCTGCGTAGCACTCCCCGTGTCATGAACGATCCCAGCACCGGGCTGGGCACAGCGCCCCGGCCTGCTGGACCGCAGCATTTGGGCCAGCCCGAGAGAAAAGAGCAAAGCGAGTTTGACGTCGTCACGTTTCGCACGGCCGGGCCCAAGACAGAGGAGCATCCTTCAAGAACATGAGACCCTCCGCCGGCGCAACTGAAGAACATTCGAGGGCACCACCCCCCCAGGATGCCAGTGGCTCAGGCTGGGCACATTGCCCGGCCAGCGGGGCAGCAGTTCTGGCCAGGCCGAGAGAGAGCAAGTAAGACAAGGTCTAACGTTAAGTCGGGCCTGTCCCTCTACAGGGGGAATTTTAACAAATAGTCACAAAAAACGATATTGGG